ACTAGCTTATTTTCTTGCTACCTATTAACTTAACCCAGGTGTCCCTTGTCAATAGCCTAAAGATCAGTGCTTAGAGCACGAGCCTTTCCTTGCATAAATACTAGAAACGAATGTATAAGGTCTGCCTAGTTTTCTTTCATTCTTAAAGTACCAGCCAGGGATTCAGATATGGTTTTTATTCCACTTTTCTACCATCTAGTCAAGCTCTAGTCTCTACAAAGGTGTAACAGGACCCAGAAGCCCTGGTTCACTGCAGTTCTACTCATTCACCTGTCCTTCTGTTTGTTGGTCACCTACTCACTCACCCATCCACCAGGTCTTCCTTGAGGTCAAAACATCAATAAAGTATGGTTCTTACCATTGAGAGGCTTCCAGTCTGACTGAAGAACTGGACATGGAGTCCATGATAATAAACGTGATAAATGCTATGATAAAAGTAAATATAAGACGCCAGGGGAGCACAGAGGACTGACAGACTAAGGAAGCCCAGGCACTGGGAGTATCAGAAAAGGTTTTCAAAGTGGAGGCAACATTTATATTGAGTTTTTTAAAATGATTATAAGTTCACCAGACAAGGGAAGGAAAAACATTAAAATAGAAACAAAATACACTGATATACATAGAAATAGAAATGAAAAAAAGTGGTTGGGGAACTGTGAGTAGTTAAACAGAGTTGTGTTTTGGGTTGGGGGATGGGAGGAGTGGTAAAAACAGGGCTGGAAAAGTGACCCAGAGCTTTGTATGCCATCTTGGGAAGCCTGGACATCTTTCTGTGAGAAATGGAAAGTACAGTAAGCAAAGGAATGGTGTAAATCAGATTTGATTTTAACAAAGACCACTTATAAATTTATAGAAAGAGTTAGATTAAGAGCAGAAAGTTAGGGAATTTTGTAGCTGTCCGAAAAGGAGGCAATGAAATTTTCTGTCTACAGCAATATTCTATCAGTGGATTCTAGAGAGACTTACGAGGAGAGCTAAGAGAAGCAGGTAAAAGAATGAAGATGAGGAAGAGGGAGTAATCAAGGCTGATACACAGGTCTGGGTGAGTGTTTGAATGGTGGACCTTTGACTAAGCCAAGGAATAGAAGAGAAAAGTGTGTGGTCATGGCTAATGAGGTTGGTTTTGGTTATGGGAAATCTGAGGTCACTGCAAGACACCTGGGAGGGGATATGTGAAGAGAAAACGGAAATTTCAAATCCAGCTTCAGGAAAGAAGCCTTGTGTGAGATGGACCCTTATCCACCCGGGGTGTGGGCTGCAGCTAAGCCAGGGAAATCAAGCAGGTCTCCAAAGGCTGGCATGGGGGAGGTGATGGGATGTAAAGCAGTGCGCCAAGGCGAATGGCTAACAGTGCCAAATGACGGAGAAAGGTCAAATAACATAAGGCCCGAGATGTGACGACTAGTGGATCTGGCAATTAAAAGGTAGAATGAAAGATTCTCTAGCCTTCATTTAGCTCCTGGCTCACGCTGCCATGCTGTACAATTAGTGCCCCTTCTCTACTTGACCCCTCCTTTCTATAAACATGTCTGATGTTCAGTGAAGATGGCGTGCTCACTCCCTTTTTAAATTATTTTTGCTTTTATTACTTTTAAGTAACACGTAATTATATTATCCATGGGGTACGGCATAACATTTCAATACATATATACAATGTGTAATAATCAAATCGGGATAATTAGCATTTCCATCACTTCAAATATTTATCATTTCTTTGTGTTGGGAACATTCAAAATCTGCTCTTCTATTTGAAAATACATGATAAATTGTTAATTATAGTCAGCCTACAGTGCCATAGAACACTAGAAATTACTCCTCCTATCTAGCTGTACCTTTGTATCCATTAACCAACCTTTGCATGCTCCCCTCTTTGGAACTGCCTCCACCCCAACTATTCATCATTCATAACGACTGACCCATTCCTACTGGTCACAGCTTTCTGGACCACGAGTGGACTCCTGACTCACACTGAGCCAGTCAGAATGTCTTCTTGTCTCTTGAGAATATATTAATAGTTAGACTATGTTAAGCATTGTTGCTACAAATCTCTGTAAAGAAGGGGTGAATCTCAAACCACCTATGATTTAATGTTATGGGGGAACCTGGATTATGTAAACATTTGCGTTTGCCTTAAATCAATACTACCCACTTGCTTTAAATTTGGCTGTTGGAATGATTTCCCTCGAAGTCAAGTTCTTCTGAAAATGGTAACGCCTTTTCCTCCATACGAAAGTTCCATTCAAATGAACTATGTCTCCAGCCCCTGATGTATCTTGTCCTTCCCTCCTGCCCTTCCTCACACCCACAATTCCTCAAATACTACGCCAGTCATGGAAAACCACATTGGTAAACTTCTGCAAGCAATTATTACTGGATGCCAAAACAAAGAACCGTGCAAGTCTTAAGTCAACATTGGGATTCTTGGCAGGCTGGGTAACAGCCCACAAAGTCTACCTTGCCCGTGTACTCAGAATAGTACCTATTTTACCGCACTCACATCAGAGCTACCAAGCTCTACGCATACTCATACTCTATACATGGTTACTATCTACACCAGTGCAAAAAGGGGCAAGTTTAAGAGGATGTCATGACTTCCAATTTTCAGAGGGCACCTCTTTGGAAGTGGGGGACAGAAGGCTGCTGACAGGGCTATAACACAGATCCCTCTTCTCCCTGAGGATAAAGCCCTTTTATTTATAAGGGCCACCCAGAAAATCCTGGCAAAAAAGAGAGCCCTCCTAGGCAGGTCCCCACCATTTCATACCACTAACTAACTGACTATGAGCATTCAGTGTCATTGGTCTCTTCGAAATCTTGAGCAGAAAAGGACATAAAGAGAGAGAGGAGAAGAAAGGGCACAGATGTACAAAACAGAAGGGGAATGGAGGTCAGCCAAAGGATGCAAAGCAGAGAACGAAGAGAGCAAGGTGTTCAAACTCCAAAACGCAAACTCAGAAGTTTAAAAAAACTTTTTCCTTCTTGCTTTATAATGAAAGGTATAACAAAGTTTAGAGAATGATACTTTGTCTAGACTAGGGACTCCCAATTGTTTCCTGTTGACTTTTTTAACATAAAAGTTTAAATTTGTAATTCCTTTTAATGTCATACTTGTGTATCACCTCAAAACTTGTGCTCATTAATTTTTCTATCCACAAGTACACCAGACCATAAAAACAACAAAAATACAGAAAAGGCCATGCCTTTCAAAAAAACTGACTTCTCATTATAACATCTTGGATTAAATTAGCGCGCTCTTTTGTGCCCAGGCAGGGCACAGTGGTAAGCATCAACATCATCTCCCAGGATCCTCACAATAATTCTCTAATTTAAATTTTAAAGATTAAAAAACAAAAGCTCACAATGTTCAAGCAAATTTCCCAAGCTCACGTAGCTGGCAAATAGCAGAGCTAGGATTTCAACCATCTCTGCTTACTCTCAACTACTTACGCTATTTCCTTTAGAACACAACCACCGTGCAACTACGGGATCCCTTTATGTCCTTCACAGACCACACCTCACCAAGACAGGGCCGTGGGATTTATAAAAACATTAGCCTACCATGAGCAACTAACATGTTAATTGTCCCCAAAGAGATCAACAGAGAGGATACATAAAGATGAACAAAAAGTTAAACAAAAAGCTAAATTGTCTTCCTGATAAATTGTATCAGTAACAGTAAGAATTTCTATTTATTTATATTTGTGTTACATTTACATCTTTGTTAACTGTTTCTGACCTTCAGCCTGATGTAAGTTTATTTAACAGGCCTTGAGTAAGTTGCATCAGCACTCTGACCCCGATCAGTGAGTGGGAGGGGTTGTTCTGGAGACCGAATGGGCACCTGCAGAAAGATGCCTCGCGTTGCACCCGGGCAGGGCAGGCGCAGTGCAGGTGCTCAGCTGACGCCAGGATCCTTCTCCTTGCAGCTGCTCGAGCCCAGCACAGAGAATGGCACCGGCGGGAGGGGGCACAGGTGGGCTTTAAAAATGAGGACTGAAGGAGCAAAGTGAGAGGAATGTGCTATGATCCCAGTCCTCCAACAGGACTCACCTTTTCTACAGTTGCCTATTTTCTGAACTCAGCTCTGAAATAAACTATTCTCTCTTTTACTCTTCTTCACATTATCCAGAATAATTCAATGTCCACCTTTTCCTTTGGGAAAATCAAAGGTTGACATGGCTACCTTTTGAACTCGAGCTGTTAAAGATCCTTTCTTGTGTTCAAAAGTTTTACTGATTTTGAAAGGTCTTATTGATAAAAACACAGAGAAACTCAGGGGAAAAGGACAAAGAGGAAAAAGAAGAAAGAGAAAGAATAAAGAGGCCAGAAAAGAAAGAGAAGGAAGAGAGCCCAAGAAGAGCGCAGAGGGGCAAAAGGCTATTGAATGCATAATCACCCACAGTCTTAGAAACCAGCTCATGTAACAATCATGGAGCATTATTTTTAAAAACTACTGGGAAAATATTTACATGAAATCCAAAGGATATACGCCTTTTGTTAAATGCTGAAAAATGACAATGTATTCGATTCATTAATTCGTTAGTCTGTGTGATGTTTACTGCTGGCACCATTAGTATTTCTGAGCTAAATATTTAAGAGAATAAAAAAGAAATTTGGGAACTAAAGATAGACATGAAGAATATATTCTTTCGGTGTTGTTTTCACTACTCATTTGTTTACTGCCTATATCTGTGTTGTTGTAGTGGTATGTTTAGGGCTTGGGGTTAATGAAATGAGCGACGTGAAACCCTCCAAGTCCTTGAAGATCTCTGCCTCCAAAGTACGTATAAAAGTCACGCGGATTTTAAACGATTTAAAGCAAAGTCATGTACAAAAGTCACACAAATTTTAAGCAATTTTCTAATTGTGCTTATAAATGATAGTTTCAAAAGCAGATACGTTACAATAAACACATATTAAGAGTAAATTAGGCCTTAATTATGTTCAGCAAATTTTATGACCTCATTAAAAACAGAATCACAACCATAAACTTGACTTACCACCAGAATTCACTCTTCCACAATTGTCCACTCTTCCCAAACATTCTTTGTGTGCTCTTGCACCACACTTAAAGCATAAATAGCCTTGATAAAATGTTCCTCTGAAAGGTAAAATTAGAGAGTGATATATTAAAATGTGCTAATTCGGCCTATATGAAATCATTAGTGCAAGAAGGGAAAGAAAAGGTATCAGCAGTGCTATTCAAAGTACACCTCAGTAGAGGACGAGGACCTTGCCGGAGCTTCCTAAGGCACTGTCCAGATAGAAGGCTCGGCAAGGATCTGACAGATCCGAACTGTTAAGGCAACATCCCCACCTAAGAACGTTTCAGCTAGAAAAGTCTGAAACACTTAGCAATTATGCCAGTTCCTTTAAACTGAAAACAGGACTGAGCAAGCTTACCTCAGGAGCATCTGGCAGACTTTGCAGGATGTAACTCGAGTGAAGGTGTACATCTTGAAGTCATGGAAATTGGAGTCAGCATAGTCTGGCCTTATGTTAGATCTATAAAAAGGAAAAAAAAGATAACTTCCTAAAGAAAGTTTCACAACAAAGCAGCAGCATAGTCATCTAAAACCCAAATTCATTAAAATTACATTGGGTCGGGGTAGGATGTGAACAAAAGGGCTAAATATGCAATGTTTCCTAACCCAAAAGTACGCTATGCATTCAAATATGCACCAAAATCTGGTTGTGTGGGAACCAGCAACATGGAAGGACACAAGCAACATAATCCTCCCCAGAATTGAGTGTTCCCGGAGAACTTCATAGAATGGCCACGTAGGTCAACCTGCCTGGAAAAAAACAAAACCTGCTGGATCTTCATGCTGTGTGACAGTTTCTTTTCTGTGGCCACATCACGGAAATGTGAAGGAGGGGAGGAGGGTGCTGCATTTCGAGAGTTCATCTCTAGATAGGTGCGTGGATTATGTGATGGTTTTAAAAAGAAATAAAATAATTTTATGGAAACTTTTGAAACAAAGCATCAGGATAATCATTAAAAATATCTTCCTTAACAAATAATTCACTTTCTTCACAATCCAAATAGAAAATTGTTTTATTGTTCATACTTTGTATTTTATTTATATCATACACATATACGACAGAAAGTTGGTATACACACCCTACTAACATTCACTGCACATTTACTTTGTGCCAGATACTGTGACAACCACGTGACATTCAACACTTCATGTAATCTTCACACCAGTCCTAACTGGCACTAACAATATTACCAGTTTACAAACAAGGAAGCTGTGGCTTACTCTAAAATAAAGCTTACTGCTAAAGTAAAGGAAATGGCAGAATCCAACCCAGGTCTGTGCTCTCAGCTCTGACGCTAGAGTTTGAGGAAGAAATCAGCAATAATCATATTAAGATAATTAGATTTTTATATTTAGTAGGTATGTTGGAAACAGTTAAACTAGCCATTTCTAGAGGGTTTTTTTTACATTATTCTTGACTTAGCCATGTCACAGAAGAAAGCAGAAGAATTAGAATAGGAAAAGTCTAAAACAGACACAGGTACACCTAGAAAGCTAAGATGCTGCACTCTAAGACGTTACACACAATCTAAAAGATTGTAGGAAAAGTTGAGATACTGATGAGCTAGGGTTTCCCCTTTATAAAATACAGCAACTCTCCACCACACAAAACCCTGGAGTAATGAAGCATAACACAGGCGGGCAGCCAGGCATCAATCTTTGGGCTACCAGGAGAAGCCTTATGAAAAAACATTCTCAAAGGCAATTGGAGTAGCAGGCAGTGATGCAGAAGTGTCAGGGAGGTCAGCCTCCCAATCCGCCTGCTGAATATGAGTGTGCTAAAAATGAAATCAAATATTAGTGCCATCTGGGATTTCTCTGCTCTGTGCTTCTGGTGACCTCACTTTTTAGGAAAATGTTCCACTGCATGCTGAAAAGTACGGCCATTTGCATAGAGGCATTTTTGCATTCCTGACTAAAAATCACAGAGCTCTTCTTCAAGAAGGGAGGAATACAGAAAAGGTAAGGATCTAGAAACATAACTCTCTTCACATTGTTCAGAAAACATTTGTTTCTTGAGTACCTAAAGCCATGCATTAAAAGGTGCATCAAAAACCCATTTTCTTAGCCAGGAATGGCTGTTGGTTCATTTGTCTCTGAGCATCAAGGTGATACAGACGTAGATGGATTGTCAAATAACAGTTTTGGTCCTGGCAACTTGAAGAATTCATCAGCCTGGAGTTTCACATAAAAGTAGGTCTCCTTCGGGCAGAAATTCATGTAAATGGGTCCCAAACAATAAGAATTTAATTAATTTCAGAAGTCGGCCTTGGACATAAGTAGAACTCCTTTCTTTTGGAGTCAAACCAAGTTATACTTAAAAACAACAATATAATATAGAGTTGTATACAACTCTGATAACGTGTGTGTTTGGGGTGGGGGGAGACAGAGAGAGCGAGAGAGATTGATTTGTGTTTGGATCATTTGTATTTAAAACTTTCACCAACTAACTAGGAATAAGCTGGCTTTTCAGAAGACAAACAGCTGAAAGGAAGATCACAAACACACTGAGAGGTTCTAAAAAAAATCTTATGGAAAAAATTCTGAAAATATTTTAACAGTAGTTGCCTTAAGGGAAATGAAACTTGAAGTGGTAGGGTAGAAACAGTAGAAAAGAATTGTTTGAATTTTTTAAAACTATAATTGCATGTTGTTTTTTAAATCTATAATCAAACACTAAAGAATAAAAAGTTAACCTCTGACCCTGAAACTGCCACTGAGGCACAACTGAACATAAAAGCATAGTTAAGGGCAGGGATCTGAAATTAGGTCACCTGGGCTGAAATCCTCACTTGCAAATCAGCAGCAGTGTGACTTTAGGCAAGTTAGTAAGAATACTAATAAAACCAAACTCATAAAGTGAGGCGATATAAGTAAACTGCTTAGAACACTGCCTGATTCAGAGTTGGTGTTCCACCAGCGTCGGCTACAATTTATGGAGTGCTGATTCCAAATCCATGTAATAATGGTGTGATCATGATAGTACTTTGTGAGTAAGAGTCCCTTGGTAAGTCTGTGAACAAGTCCCCAGAGGATTCTCATTCTCCTGGGAATTTCCAGCAGCAAGGCTGTTATATGAGCAGTGTTCTTGGGACCAGGAATCCATATACGGTTATTTAAGTACAATAAGGAGCGGGGTTACCCAGGAGTGGACATGCATGAGAAATCCCGAGGAACTGGATGAAGTCACTGCCAACTGAAGAGAAAAGAAATGTCAACACACGTGGCTTGTAGCCTATAGAATGAAGAAGCCAAAAACAGTCAATTGGCTGGATGGGAAGTGTTCAGAAGGTAGATTGGAATAAAGAGCATAGAAAAACATTGGGGTTATAGATTGAGAAAAACACAAGGGCAAAATGGTCAAAAGTGAAATGTATTGCACACCTCTAACGCACCAGGCACGTTGCTAGGCTCTTCATATACTTTTTAACATTTATGTCTCACAACAAATCTACAAGGCAGAGTCATTCATTAATTTAATAAGTATTTATTGAGTAACTACCATATACACAGGCCCTAAGGCAAGAACACAAAGAAGGCTCCTTCGCTGGAGCCTAGTGAGTGAAGAGGGGGAAAGAGAGGTTGGCAGGGGCCAAGGAAAGAGGTAAGATTTTGCACAGAGATTGACATCATATTTAGGTGACAATAAAATCTCTATGGCTGAGATTTCTATGTAGAGATTTCCTTACATAGTGAGGCAAGAGTGGATGTAGTGGGCTGTCTAGAAATGAGAACCGAGGATCACATGGATTAGTTCACTCGCTTAGTCATGCAGTTATACATAAAGAATTCCATTTTAGTAATCTGCCTTAACATATGACAATTTGCTGTGGAGAACATCAATGGAATCTTGTAGATTTCTCAATAACATGTTCCCATTTCTTTTGCTTTTCATAGGGCCCATCACTAATTCAACTAATGGGCAATCAAATATATTTATAGGGCAAGGCATGTGGACACTCCTAGGGCTTCTTACGACATTGCACGTTCTCCTCAGGTGGTCTCCCCTCTTCACCTGGCTGCGTTGCAGGCTTCAGGCTGAGGACCACACGTTCCCCTCCCCCCGGGCTGCTCCTCCACTCTACAGATCTGCACTCCCAGTCGCTCCCCGGGCATCTCAAACGCAGCGCATACAAAACTCGACTTCCGTGCCTGACCCATTTACTCCATCTTGCACCCTAGAAACTTCAGAGTCACAATGAATTCTCCCCTTTCCCTCATGCCCTCTACATATTAATTTTCTCTTAACTTTTCCTCTGCTCCAATTTCTCCTTCCCTGATATTAACCAATTTTTGCTGACTCAACCTCAAAAATATCTTCCCCAAAACTCAGGTTCCTTACCCACGTGTGCACATGTGCATACATGCATACACACTCCATTGGTTCTGTTTCTCTAGAGAACCCTAATACATACATACTAGAAGATAATGTTAGGTAGGTTAGTGGAGCCAGTTACCAGAGGAGCGGATGGGAGCAGTGTTTAAATTCAGGTATGTCAGCTTCTATGACACTTTACTTGACACCAATGACAAGTTAAACAGACCTCCTAGGCTTTCACCTACTTTGCATAGCCCTAAAAGAAATCATCGTAGCATGGAAAGTGTCTGTGTGTCCAGTTCCCTGATGGTCTACCTGGTGCTTGAGGACAGGCGCCATGTCTTCTCCTTTTTAACCTGTCTCCTCTTTATAGTCAGCAAACATTCTGCCAAGAAAACTGACTGCTAGGTATGTATGGTTGATGGAAATCAGCAAAATATGCTTTTATGGTAGTATTTTCTTCATTTGTTTTCAAAAGGCTGCCCTTTGCCACTTATCAGATGGAAAGATGGAGGGAGTAAAGGAGAGAAAAGATATTTTTACTAAGCCAAAAATATTATCTCCCATATGAAAAAAAAAATTGAAGAAAATCATAATGGTTAACTGCTTTTATGGTAGTATTTTCTTCATTTGTTTTCAAAAGGCTGCCCTTTGCCACTTATCAGATGGAAAGATGGAGGGAGTAAAGGAGAGAAAAGACATTTTTAC